TGATTATATGATTTATTAGTGAATTAAATATCGTTGAACGAAATAATTTATATTAGTGTAATTATTTGGTTATTTAATTAACAGTGATTAAATGCAGGAATCACTTGGTCCGATCAATCCAGAATCGGGTAATCGTCATGTGCGTCGGCAAAAAGTCCTGGTTTCGGGTCGGAAGAATGACGAAGGGACCGTGGCAGAAAATGAACATGTGGAGAATGAGGAGATAGAGCACGAAGAGAGCAGTTGTAGAGACTCTGGATTTTGGTTCTCAAATCTTTGCTGATGTGCCATGTACACAACAAGTGGGTAGACTAGGAAAAAATATCACTGATTGGTGCCATTAACCCGGACTCTCGATCAGTGAATAAAATATTTGGCTAGCGCTTTATCTCTAAGTAATAGCCATAACTGTAACAACGCCCATCGGTAGCTCTCAGTAGTCTCAGCATCCAGTAGAACATAGGCAATCAAAAAGTTCTTGTTACACGGAATCATCCCGATACCTGTTGGTATTCTACGTGCTATCCATACCGACGACCAAGTGGTACACTCTATACAACCTCACTGATTCAAAGTGCACCATGAAAACCTGAGTCAAGGTCATTGTATTCAGATCTGACTCCATCACAATTATGTAATTGTGTTTCCAGGCCAACCGAAAAGTCCTGTTAGCAACATCAAGACACGTGCCATCAAGTACCATGCACCCTATCTTGCGCAGTTTATTTCTGTAGTTGTAAATTTGGCGCTTCGTAACATGGTCATCTGGATACTCTTTTTAAATTGCCTTTAGAATGTAAATCCGACGCAGACATATCTTCTATCATCTTTTTTTGCTCCCTCGCTCAGCTTACTCATCTGGCGATGACCCTTTGGATGTTGTATCATCGGATGATTGTGCTCCGTCTTTTCACCGGTCTTTGGATAGATTCTGTACACATCGCTCGGTCATTCTTTATATCTTCTGATGAACACCTCAAATTTACACCCAGTCACTGGGGTTTTCAAATTTGGTCGGCGCTTATTGGTTTCATCTCCGTATTTCTCTAGTCTATACCGTCCACCTTTGTTGCATTTCAGTAAATAACCGTTGTTCTTCCGCGAATCTCTCACTAATTCAAAACCATTGCTGATTGCAATTTCTGTCGCAAAATAGCGTCATCTTCTAATTGGAATATCTCAAAAGTGTTAAAAGAAATACTATGATCTTTGTTTTCAGTTGTATCATGCAAATTCCAAACATATACTCTAAATAACTTATTAATAAAATACCTAATTACTCTTTCTAAATAAAAATAAAAAATTAAAATAACATAAAAATAGATTTGCATGAATAAATAACTTAAATGAATCCTATTCAATTTAATTATGATGTGATAATTAATAAAATATAATAAATTAACTAAATAAATTAATAAAATTAAAATTAAAAAATAAAAAAATACCCAGACCGCGGCACACACCAGCACGGGATAAACGAGCCGGTTCCCACACCAGTTCGCACAAGAAAGGATGGCAACCCCAGCGTCCCTTGTTGACTTGGATGCTGCGGGCGGAGGCATTTCAAAAATGGCCGCCGCAGCTGTCGGCCCACTTGGCTGGCGGCCCTGCCATCCTGGTTCCTAGAAAACAGCAGAAATACCGTCTAGGCCAAGTCCAGACGACATGCGCCTCGTCTGGACCTATTCCGGACGGTATTTCTGCCGATTCGGTCTATTTCGGCCTAAAATTTCATAAGTCTAATTTTTTTTTTTTCATACCTCTGAATCATTCATTTTGGATTGAAAAAAATGAAAAAGGTGGAATGGTATTTCTTACGGCGGTTTGTATCTTTTACCATGTGGTCTATATCCAAATGAAAAGGGCAGAATTTTCTTTTTTATGGCGGTCTTTATCTTTTTCCTGACGGCCTTTAATACGCCTCATTATTTTTACATTTTCAATATAAAAATATGGTGAAAAAAAGGAAAAACCCCGACCTTATTAATTGTCAGTTTGATTAATCTGATGAAGTGTTCACGTTCGTAAGCTTTACACCAAGTTGAAACTTCGGAGACACGTACTTCATACGAATATCTCAATTAAATAGTAGTAGTATTAAATCCAAAAGTGACAGATTTTCTTTGGCTGCCAAAGCATATGAAAATCAAAATGACTGCAGTCAAGGCCCCAAACAAAAAGTCACATGCTTGACCAGAAATTGTAAAACTTGATTTTGTTGTTTTTTGACTTTGAGCTTGAGGGGCAGAAAAGTAGTAGAAATGATTTAAATAGAAAACAAAATGCCCTATTATAAAAACTGTTGATGATGATAAATTATATCTGGAAGGATTATTAATGAACTAATGAGCATGATAATTACGGATTAAATTACGTGATATTTCGGGAGGTGAAAATTCTTCTTATCTCTTAACAATAAGATCTGATATTTGTACAGCAAATTACATGGCAGACTTCAAACAAATGAACTACAACGAATGTTGTTAATTGATTCATCTAAAGAATTACTTGCTTGGTTTCATAATAACTTTATATTTTTGTATCACATGATGACTTTTGGTTTGTTGCCTCTCCTTTTATATTGTACCGAGGAGATTATATTTTAGTTGTTTTCTCACAGTTATTAAATACCCCTCCGGTCTTTAATATAAGTCATTTTGATTTGTTCTAAATTTAATTTAGTACACATTTTTTATTGACAGAAAAACCTTAAAAATATTTCATAACAATCAACAGAACACAACGAATGTGAAAATATATATTTAAGGACCGGAGGGAGTACAATACAGTATAAATATCAAAGACTATCACATCAGAACACTTAAAATTGTTGGGGGGGAAAAAGTTGTGTTGGGGGAAAATCATCAACGGTTGAGTTTGCACTCAACACTATTAATCTTCTTTTTTTTTTTTTTGGGGGAGGTGGGGGTAATATGTTTCATTTTCTACGTGCGGTTGAGTTTGCACTCAACACTATTAATCTATTTCTTGTTTCTTTTTGGAATTTGTTTCATTTCTACGTTTTAACCTTTCCTTATCTCGCTTCAATATCAAATCTCACGTCCTTTTTTTTTCTTCCCAAAATACCTTATTGCAATTGATGCAAGAAAAGTTTTAAAAAATTGCGAAAAGAAAAATAACCTTCTTTAGTGATTTATTTAATACAGAAGAATCGTATTATACTAAACTTCCCACACATCTTCTTCATAAAATACAAATCCTGAGGTTCTTTTTACATGGGACATAAGTAAAGAAGATTGTAGTTAAAAAAAAAAAAAAAAAAAGAAGAAAGAAAAAAAAACCCAGAAAAATTTTAACCCTAAGGAACTCGTTTTGATCTCTCTTTTTCGAAGTGTTTGACTTGAGTTTTCCACTAAAACAGACACAAACCACATTTTTTTGAGGTTTGAATATTCCAACTTTTCTAGACGACTCACTTTATTCCTTTCGCCTGACATCGTATGCAAAGCATCTCTATATATATATATATATATATATATATATATATATATATATAGTTCTTTTTTTCCAGGATGCAATTTCACAGAGCCTTCTTCATTCTCATTCAACTGGGCTGCTGCTGCTTTTTCTCTGCTGATTTATTTGATGATGCAATTTTATTAGAACAACAAACACTGTTCTGGTTCAAAGTATATACATATATGCATCAATATCAAAGCCAAGTTCATTCTTCGTCGACGTCCCAAATTTTGAGGTGTTTTTTTTTTAATCAAGGGAAGGGAGATTTGAAGATTTCCTGAAAAGGGCTGATGTTTCTTTGAACCCAGAAAATCAGAGAAGTTTTAAGTTCTGAAGAAGAAGAAGATCAGCTTTTTGTGCATGGAAGAGTGAACGAATGAAATTCTTACTATTTTAGGTACGTGAAGTGAATGAAATTCTAGTAGTATTTGGCTTTTTCCATCCCATAAAATTTTCTTGGTTTTTAATCTTCACTAACTATTTTTTTAAATGAATTTTGATTCATGTACCAAAGGCTCTTTGTTCGTCTCCCTTGTTTTTTTCGAAGTTGTAATTAATAGTCGTGAGAATTTTGATACGTAATGTAATAATTGAGATAAATTACACTAATTACTTTTCAACCTTCATTTTGTGATTCTCTATTCGTTCTCAAAGTTAGAAAAGTTTGTCTCTATTGTTGATAATCTGATTTTAGTTTATCTCGTTGATAATTTCGTTCTAAATTTTAGACAATCTCAACAGTCACATGTAATAAACGTTTATAAAAAATTGGACTGCGAAATTATTTACTGATCTTAGTAAATTTTTATTTTTATTTTTATTTTACATATTAAACGATGTATATATATCGTGTATCATATGCCTGCATATTGTATTCAGATAATTTGGTCAGTAAACAAGCAACGGACAATAACGTGCAATTCAGTACTTAAAAAATTTGTTCCGTCACTTTTTTCTGGGTAGGTTCAAGGAATTCCCTTTAATTGTTTCCATAAGTAAAAACTCAAGAATCCAAGAATTTATTTCTTTTCCCCGTGGGATCATTTTCACTAAATAATGTTACTTCTTTGAAGGCTTTCACATTTAAGTGGTTTACTCTTCTTATTAAATGAAAATCATACAATTCAATTATTTTCATGTATTCAAAATAATTAAGAATATCCCTCTTCATAAATACAGATATTGATAGATGCATTGAGTAAAAAAATTTCTTAGTGAGTCTATAAATTCAGATAATTGAATAGCAAAAGCCACTAAAATGTTTATTTTTTTTAATTAATTTTTTAAAGAATTTAGCACAGGATCTTTGATGTCTGCTATATATTGAATCGTCCTTATTCATCGTCAACACAGAAAAAGTCAGGTAGGTAATTACATTATTTACGTGTTGTGTGGGCTTGACTTTGAATTTTTTGTCTTTAAATTTTTTTAGTTTGAAGGTTTCTTGTTTTCGTTCAACACAAAAAGATGAAAAGGAATTACAGCGAACCAATGGAATATCTGCAGGTGTAAAGAATATCATGGTGGGGTGCTGGAGGTTGAGTAGTTCAAACATGGCTAAATTCGTAGTAGTGGTGCTGATGATGCTGTTGTTTGTAGCACCAAATATTGGAATAGTGTCATCAGAAGAAGCAAGCTTTAATCAAAGTGAGACCATCGTTACTTCCGTCCCATAATAATTGTGTTGATTACTGAATTAAGAACAGAACGTTTAAAAATTTTTAATTTGTTTTTTTTTTTCTAAAGGGAATTTTTCTTATCTTTGTAAAATTTCAATTCATTAAAGTGTCCAAAAAGAAACCATTATTCAATTTCGGGATGATTTCTTGGCGAGTGCATCATTAGCCGTCACCTTTATAAGTTGACGTGTGAAATGAATTTGCTATTCATGTCATCAGATACATGTAAAAAGTTTACCACTTGACAAAGTTTAACCTGCGGAGTAGGTTTGAGTATTGGATGATACACCGATAACGGTTTTGATTTGCAATTTTAGTTTTGATATTGATAAATTATGTCCTTTTTTTTTCTTTACTATCGAACTTTATCATAAAAAGAAAAGAGTGTCTTTCAAAAAAAAAAAAAAAGAAGAAGAAGAAGAAAAGATCGCATTTTGAAAGAAGTAATAATAATAAAATACTTACTGAATTTCAATTGCCACCATGTTTTTTTTCCAGGGAGACATTTGATGCAAGTAGGGAATGGTTCGGAATCAGGAAGAGTATCAGATAATACTGCAAGGGTTGATCCTCTGGATCATTTGAAGAAATACAGAGGAGGGTATGACATAACTAATAAGCACTACTGGAGTGTAAGTATGAATAATTATTTATAATTTTTTAATCTTTGATTCTAATTTCCACGTAAAAATTAAAATGAATTTATGTACGAATATATGTAAACAAAATTTTTGACATAAATCTCTTGCTCCTTGATTAATTACAAAATTAAGTCAAGTAGTCAGGAGTTAAAAATTGCAAATGTCATAATATGTTTCTTCTGTCCCGAAATGTTTGTTCAATCTATATTTTTAATTATATTATGATTTCAACTGAAAATGAAAATTCAAACTGGAGAGGACGGAATGATTGTGTATTTAGGGTAGCACTTTGTTGAGGAAGAACGAAGTTAAGAAAGATGTAAATTAATGACGGGCCATTTTCAATTCCCTGCAGTCCACAGCCTTTACAGGAATTTACGGATATACCATTGCAGTTGCATGGGCGCTTTGCGGGTTGGTTTATGGACTATGTTTGGTTGTAACATCATGTTGTTATAAGAAGAAGAAAGTACAAGAGTTCAAGAATGGATCGAACATTCACAAGCAGTTTTATCTTCGGCCGGTTCTTGTGGCAGTATTCCTCACACTCTTAGCAATGTAAGTTGCTCAATATCCTCATAAATAAATCACTAGGACTTTTATCTGTTTTTAATTCGGTTTTCAATCTTCAATTGCATTCAAATTTATCGCTCAGATTAAGGTTAAAATGGTTACAGAACCTTGCAAAACTAGTTTGAAGTTGTCGCAAGATGATGATTGATTTAGAGTAATTTCATTTTCATAATGCTAAAGTTGATCAAAGCTAAAGCTAAAGGTGATATAATGCAGAATTGGATGTGGGCTTGTTCTTGGAGGGACAGCAAAGTTCCATTCAAGAGCCAAAACAGTGGTGGACATTCTGATCAACACGGCAGATGATGCATCCGATACCATATATAACACGACGACAGCCATGGATGACATGAACAACAGCTTGGAAGCAGCACAAGAAACCGGAAGGGTCTCCGGTTTCCTCAGTTCCACATCCAAAAGGCTTGATGATCAGGCTGCTGATATAAGCAGACAAGCAAGGAAGAACAGGAGAGCAATATACAAGGGCCTCAAGATAGTGTTAGTGTTCCTTTCGACACCCAGAAATGTTCAAGTTGTCTTGTTCTTTTAGGGTCTCAATTTTGTTCTTAGATTCATAACACTTCCTGAGCTATAATTTTCTTGAATCCTGCAGGTATATAATAACTTCAGTTATCATCTCAATCAATTTGGTAGCTGCTATTGTTATGACAGGTAAAGACTTGCATGAAATCAGAGTTTGCTTCCTTTCTTCATTAGACCAAGAACTTTCTTATAATTTTCTTGGTTTCTTTTTTCTTTTCTGTTGGAAAATCAAAAATTTTACAAATAGTGAAAACATTTTCCTGCAGTGTCTGGCATTCTAAAATCAAGAAGAAGTTTAAGACTGTAAGAGTATCCTATGACACAATCTACATTGATATATATATATATATATATATATATATATATATATATATATACACTTCATCTTTTATGTGTCTTTTTGGCGAGAGAATGACGCTGTATCGAAAAAGAATCCTCACGTAAATTCTTCGGCAGGCTTATTGGGATTTGCTGGATAGTCGCATTCTTTTGCTGGATGTTTTTCGGGATCTACTACTTCATATACAAGTATGTCTGGTCTCTGATCTTTTTCCCTTCTAAAAATGCTCCCTGATACATCTCATAATAGTTGAAATCTTGAAAAAGGAACCAATACAGGGGGAATACAGCAGCTCCTGAAAACTAAAGAAAAGTCTTTTTTTTTTAACTCAGTTTTGCAGATGACACTTGCACAGCCCTAGAAGGATTTCAACAAGATCCTTACAACAACAGTTTAAGTTCACTTCTTCCCTGTGATGAACTCCTTTCGGCGAAGTCGGTCCTTTCTGAAGTTAGTGCAGAGGTACACAACATTGTTAACCAGGTATGATCCCCTGACGTGTCCCATGTGGATTAGTAACTTGCAAGCAAAAGTACAAAACCTTCCTACATTACAATCTTTGAGACTTCTACTTATGCAACGGTACAGGTTAATAGGAACATTGATAAAACCTATGGAAACATTGCTCAAATCTGTAATCCTTTCTCACCACCACCCGAGTATCAATACCAACCACAAAAATGCCCAGCGGACACAATTCAAATTGGAGATATTCCACAGGTATGTAATGAATTAAATAAAAAGAAAGAGAAGAAGCTACATTCTTATAGGAAAGCAATTGAATGAAAAAGCTCAACGATTCTTAAAACTAATTGAGATGTTCTGGGTGTTCTTAGCTATTGAAGCTAGTGGCATGTCCTGATTATGAGGGATCAACATGCACCGGAGGAATCTTAATCCCCGTCAGGGATTACAATCTCATGGAGAGCTACTCAACATCAATTCAGAGGCTATTGAATCAATATCCTCATCTGGAAAGGCTGGTGGAGTGCCAGACAGTGACAGACGCTTTTTCAGATATCCTACACAACCACTGTAAGCCTCTAAAACGATACGGAAGGATGGTGTGGGGAGCACTGGCTTTCCTCTCAGTGGTAATGGTGGCTTTAGTCCTTATATGTGTATATGAAGTAGTCTACCAACTGAAACATCGGTCCTCCGACAGTTCTGTGAAACCATATTCTACAGGAGGTGAAACTCTGGAATCAGGAGTAGATAAAGCAACTAATAATGATTATGAGTAACCTACCAGATTGGAATTCTCACAGCTAGAATCAATGAGTCATTACAACAACTAGGAGAACTGATAGAATAGAAAGAAGCATAGGCCAATGCGACACAATTCATTCTCATTCATATTTTTCTCCAATTTCTAGTTAGGATGAACAGCCCGAGAAGGGGACAAACCCCTCTGATAGAGCTGGGTGAAACACACAAAGGTATTCATTGTACGCAATCTTTTCATTCAAAAACATGTACAGCTACAAAAAATACATATTCATGTTCACTTACTGCTACCCCACCACAATTTTGCTACATCAGTAGGTACTTTGATATCTTCGTATCAAATAAATCCCCAATATAATAGATTTTGATACATTAATGTCTAAACCCGCTGAAAAGTAACAGTGATAATTACTGGTGCTTTTGACAGAAATAATTATATCAAGACCAAACGCATTGCTCTTGATCTGATGATCTGACCTAAAGTATGTAATACACAAATCCGACGATAAGCTCTAATAATATAAATGTAAATATGAAAATGCCAGTAATGCCAGCATGATGAGAAACAAAATATGCTATCATTCGAAGACTCCTTAACAGAGCAGCATTCATTAGAAAATCAGAAGTACGTCACTAAATTAACAGTAAGAGGAAAACAGTTACATTTAACTAGTACTGCCCCATCTTGTAAATTTTGCAGTCACCAGAATCAACTCCAAATCCCTTAACTTTCCACATTTATGAAAATCTAATCTAATTTGAAACGACATCTAGAATCCAATTGAATCCGCTGCTAATTATCATTGCTTCCAACCTACAATGGAAATATAAATGACAGAGCTGTAAGTACCATAACCAAGCTCTTCTGCAGAAACAGTTAAGCATATAAACAGACACACACCACAAACGGATGCCGATGGCATAATTTTCTTCCCCAGTTAAGGGAACCGCTCTAATGTTACAGACCAGGTCACAAAGACAATTTGATTATGAAATTTCAGACATTTACAGAAACTTGACATCAATTTGATAACAGAAATTTGTAGCATCATTGCAACAAATATCAATTCTTCAATGCAAAATAATTACTCCCTCCGTCCCATAATTATTGTCCAGTTCGGATTTTCATTTCTAGTTCAAATTTTGCTAAAACTGAAATCTCAAACTGGACAATAATTTTGAGACAGAGGGAGTACTTTTTTTCTTTTTTCTTAACTTCCTTCTGTCACCTTTCATTCTCGCGCACTGTGTAGCCAAAAACATCTTCTCTTCAGTTTCAGTAAATATTGGTGGTCGGTCCATTGCAAAAAGAACAATACATTTACTATACTCTTTTTTCTTTTTCACCCACAACTGTGCTGAATATTTAAACAAGAAAAAAGGCACAAACGAAGAAAGTACAGTGCTACAATCGAACACAAAAGGTTCCACATTTATAGTCAAGCAGACCATGCTTTTCCTGCACTCATCTTCCATGTCAATTACTAAATAACTATACGGTGCTCCAGCTATTTAGATATACCTAAGAAGCATTTGGGTGACTCTGACATAAAAGGACGCATTATAAGTTTTAACCATAAGCAATTGTTACAACCAGACCAATTACATTATAAGCATGTAGCTTATTCTACAACGCCCTATCCGGTCACTAGTGAAGCTTTTTACACTTCTCTTCAGCAAAAGCCAATAATCTGGCAACCCTATTATCCACCCCACTAATGCTACGAGAGCGGTAAGCAGCTACAAAACCCACAGCTAAAAACGTAATAGACAGAAAACATTTCTGATAAGGAACATAGTTAATGTGAAACCAATTAAAGATGTATGACATTGACTAATAAGACAATGAAAGAATAGCAAACCAATAAAAACCTTCTGTGTGATGTCAGCTAATTCATCACATATCACCATTGAGTTCAAGAGGATAATGGTACAACTTTGTGGAAAAATTTTGATAATTTTAAAGAATATACTACACCAAGTTCTGAAAATTTTCCAGATAAAAGAAAAATATAACGTGTGAAGTGATAAACAAACCAAATCAGGATACAAAAGGTAATCTAATCTTCAATTATCAATTTCTAAAACAAAAGGTAGGAGCAACGACATAGACATGTGTAAGGTACCATACAAATAAGACCTGAGATTTTCCCTTTATTTCATTCACAGGTATTTGTCTCCCAGAGGGGGACAAGGGAAATTACCAAAAAGATAGGAATGAAGGTGGTGGACAACAATAGTTCAATCTGTTGATACATAACGATTCTAACAAAAGTTAGAAAGCCTGATCAGACTTAAACCAGATGCAACCTCAACTTAAATCACTCCTCACCATCACTTACAGCAAATAGCACTCCACAAAAGCAACTTTCAATCCACATCAGGATACACCATTACACACATCATTACACCTTTGATCTAATACAATGACTGATACCAAAGGTTGACGAACAAATAGGTATCACTTACAGACATGCTAACAACCTACATTCCCATAAGGAACATTGTATTCATAACCAATAAATAGCCATGATATATCAGCCACTGTCACGCTGCCCCTTGAGATGAAAACTAGTAAAATTCGCCATATATAAGAAATGAAAACTAGATCAATCTACTATACTACGAGAGAATACTTGTGAAATGAAATCAATCCAATATCCGGACAGCATTCTTACACAAAATCTATGTTTGTACCGCAATCATAAACAAAACGTTTAGAAACAAATACACAAAAATGCAGAATAAAAGTAAGGGAAGTAAATAAATCTTTTTGGATAGCCATCTATCAAGAGTAACTACACAGAAGCATTCTCCTGGATCAAAAAACCAACATAACGAACTCAAAGCAAAAACTTCCCTTCCCCCCCAATTCCAAGAATAAACGTAATTGGAACTGCGCAATGCATTTACCAAACAGTAACATTAAACAATAAGAAAGAATCACACTGAAACAGACAAATTTAAATCAACATGTCAAACAAAATCCAGCTTAAAAATCATTTTTTCCCTCCCTAAAGATCAAATTCCACAAATCAGCCATCTACAAACTACTCAGGAAAGAAAGATTACCTTAACCACATTAGAATTATGATTTTTCGGGCAAACCCTTCTCGAGATATGCAAGTCGGGTTTCAAGGGCACCAAATTTCTTCGCCAACTAAAACAATTCAAAAGAGAAAACAAAAAAGAAAAAGAAAAATAAAGTCATCAAAGTGGGGAATCGAAAAATTTAACATATGGACAAAGGAAAAAGATGAAAATTTACCTGAGAAGAGTGAGTTTCCCGGGCGGCCCAGAGTCTCTTGGCGACGAGGACTGTTATTCCGGCGGAGGCGGTGGCGAAACCATATGTGAACCACAGAATCTTTGTCTTAAGCATTGTTGTTTCTCTTCTTCTCAAAGCTATTTGCTCGCGCAGCAGCAACGGTGACAGAAAACGATCGACGAGGAAGAAAGTGGTCCTTTTTATATTCCTTTATATTATCAGGGACTTTGTGGAGTCAACGGCAAGAAATTGCATAATTTTTAATTCACACAGCTTATTTATATATCTCTAACAAAATATAGAAGCACAATCGATTAATAACACAGTGACAATACCACATAATTAAATTGATACGTTATTAAATTTTTTTATAATTACTCGATTAAGACAATTTTTATTTTCTAATCCAGTTCTAATTTTACATATATATATATAGTAATCAGGGCGGTACCTGGCGGGCATTCCCCCGATTTTATTGATTTAAACAAAAAAAATCAAAGAGCAGTGTTTAAGACTTATCCAATTCAAAAGAGACCGTCTTATAGAAAGTTTTTCTAAAAACGTACTCTAACAAATCTATAAACTGATTTACAAAGATAGTTATAAACTATCCCCTGACAGTTCTTGGTTTTTTAAAGATAAATATTTAAACTAAGAGATTGTCGTACATAGATTTCTAAACATAAATCCCATGACATCTCTATTTTTACCTATTCTAAGCCACTGTGCTATATAATTCTTAAACAAGGAAAATTATTCATATCTAAATAAATCTTACCTCTCAAGGAAGTCGGAAGATCCTCCTGAGCATGGGATTTATGTTTTAGTTCTGTTAAACATTATTATACATTCCTCAAAAGAAAAAAGAATGTTAATAACTTAAAGTAAATAAATTAAATTAAGCTTTGTTTAAGTGATCTAAACTAAATATTTTTAGATTTTTTTTTTTATTCTTCTGGAAAATTACAAGGTTCATATTCATGCGTATCATAAATTTTGATTTTTTTTCTTTCTCTCAAATCAAATCCCAACAATCCTAGACTGAATTTTCAAAGTGAGTGGCAATTCGACATTGTAGACAAATTTTTTAAGCAAAAAACGTAAGGTTTAAAACATTATATCTTGAAGATAAAAATTTAAAAGGATTATGGGAAAATTTATAGGTGTAGTTGAAATACACCCGTGCATTAATTCATCCTTAAAGTTGAAAAACAAAAATGACCTAAAGTATTTGATCTTTCTATTAAGAAGCTCCTAATTGTTTGATCTTTTAAAACTAAATTAAGTGTAATTTTCTTCTATAATTAGTGTAGTAGTTGAAACAATTTGAGTAAATGTCATTAATATTTCTTCCAATGATTATTTCACTTTAAATACCGAACTTTTTTTTATTAATCCTTTAAAAAAGATTTAGAATTTCATATCAAGTTTACTAATTTATTTTTTTTGGAAAAAGGTTAATATATATTAACTTCTCCAACAAAACTGTTTATGTACACTGATTTTTACATACTTAATTCTGCTCAAGTTCAAACAGTAATGTCTACACTATTTAATAACATTTTTTCACTTTGCCTAAAATTTTTACAACTGAATACTATTCTCCATTTCAGCTCTTGTTGAACCTGCTTCACCACTTCTTACACATCCAGCATCTGTCCTCCATGTTGAACTTCATTTCGCAGTTTCCAGATTTTATAAACAATAGCAGTTAGCATCCCAAAGATCACCCTCTGCTTACACTTACTT